ACATAAATGAATTTCTCATCTTCTTACATAAAGTGAATGGGAACTCCTCCCTTTCTTATGTAAGTTAAAATGACCACTGCTTACCCAACAAGTGAAATCAATCTTTACTGAGCTTGATGAAAAGGGTGCTAGTATGCCCTTTGAGTATTGGGATGGTGGATGATGGATCCCTAACCCCTCATACCTTGGTTAATTTAGTGCAATAGATGCCACAATACTCATGTTATGCAGCCATTGCAGTGCGGAATTCTATAAGTGGCCCGCTGCATAAAATCATTTGCAATGACCGCAATGATATCAAAGGTGATTACGAGTGCGCTTCTACGCAGTGTAGCACACTGAAATGTGCAAAGAATTGTGCTGGTGGTTAGGCGTTGTTGTGTTGGTATTGCCCAAATAATCCAAGCCAGTACAACATGGAATTTGTAGCAAAAGTGCAATTTCAACTGCAATTGGGGTTCAAAGCAGTCTTTTCATGAGGTGATCTCATGTTAGTTCAAGCCTGGATATTGTATGATACCCAACATGAAAAGAGGTACTCCACATGTTGTTGAGATATACCCTCATCTCTCCTAATGCAGGTTTCAGCAGTTGTGAAAGGTGAATGACGCTTATGCCCCAAGCTACCCCACATAAGCCTCTAAGAGTATGATGTACAAAATTTGATACTCCCAATACTCTAATTCAGACCTAAACCTAGAATACCTCAATATAGATTGTGGTTCCCTTGTCTCAACTGTATGCTCTTTTCCTTACCCATTATTCTACAGGGGGAAATCCCAGATAACCGGCAGCATTGGACAATTTTATATTCTCTGATAATTATCACATGATAATTATCAGCTGAAAATATATGCCAATACAGAAACTGTCCACAAAAATAACAGTATTTCACATATTCTTCTACTGTGGTGACCCAAGGCTGATTGTGCTACCACTGCGTACAGGGCTTGCTAGCCCCATACTGCCTTGACTGTGACACCTCCTGTGCACCTTCTCTCCTTTTTTTGGATCACATCAATAATTTTCCTGGGTGAAACCCAAAACCATTCTTCACCAACTTATATTTGCTTACAAGCTCACGGGATGACACCCATCACTCTACCCTATCAAAGACATCCATGCCTAGCACTCAAACACTCGCAAGGCTGACAGACAACTCAAATTAAAGCATTTAATACTTCCTCTACCGGCCCTTTGATCAGTGCACCAGAAGGCTCACCACCTGCTCTGTTGAATCCACAAAATGGATTTGAGAGGCCCTAAGAGGGATGAACAATGGTTAGATTGATCTTTGTTTCAAGCAGTTCTGATCTTGTCAAGTTTTGATCATTTTTACTTTCATTTCTTTTGGTAATGGACAATTTAATGAAGATGTTAGTAGATTTTCCTATCAATATAGACGGATCCGTAGTAGAGATACACTCAGATGGTTATACAGCCAAATTGGAAGGACAATGATATGCAAAAGAGTTCAATACTTGTCAAACTGCAAAGGTGATGGAGAGAATGGGCATTTCAAAACTCTCCCCAATGTGTGCTAATAGTAACATGTCCGTAACAGTTAAGACAACTTCCGATATGGCCAATGCACTTGAATTTCAGCCTGCCCCAAAGGGTGATGGTTGAGGATTTGCTGTAGTTGGACCCAAGAAGAAGAAGAAATAGCTGATCTGTTGTAGTGTAGTTTGTTGTCATTGAGTGATTTTCATTGAGTGATTTGGGGTTCTGGAGAAATTTAAAATAGCAAATACTATCCTATGTATTCTCTCTTATATTCTGTTGCCATGAATGTGATTTTCAATGGAAACTGTTTAAGTTGATGCATTGATGATATACAATCAGAAAGTAAGAGAAGTGTGTTATAAAGGATGTGAACCACTGCGCTCTGTACCAAATGGGTATTTTGATGTAATGAAAGGAATGGTGAACTTTGGATATCTGACATGTTTATCAAGTCAATCCTGAGCATCCTTGTTGACAGTACAGACATTGGTCCAAAACCAAATCCTTCATGGATTTGCAAGGTTTTGATTCAATCATCTCTTACACAGTGAAATGATTGAGCATCTTTATCACATGGAGAATATCTTGGTTGCTGATAATTAGGGTATCATGTAGGGTGATGATGCTTAATCTCAATTGCAGTGACAGAGAAGAATTGTGAAAATCATATGGCCATTTTTGTCCGCCTCAGTCTCCTCATGAGAAAATACAAGAGGATGCAATCAACCAGACAACTTGATGACTACATATAAAAGAAGTAGATGTTGGTAGTCCCAAGCATTTCCTCAACCAGCTAGTCAAGTTAACCATTCAATGCTGCTATACTCCAGCTTCATACTAAATCCTCATGATTATTTTCTCCTGACTTGGTGATATTTGAGAAAAGATGCCAGGTTTATTCAAGTACACGCTATGTGACAGTGCAAGGTTCATGCAGTAGTATGCTGGTGTAAACCCATGATATGTGGGTCAGTGAAAGGTTGTGTTTGCCACAGGCAATCATGTGGTGGGCGTGGTGTGAGACTTGTGGTTTGAAAAGTGTTTGCATATAAGCATGGGACTAGGGCTGTATTATGCCTGTAGGTGAATCTATCAGGGGCAGTGTGACAATTATCAGCAAATATATGAAAGTCAGATCTACCCAGATAACCATTGTCTTGAGTTTTTCATTATTTTTTTCTTCCATGGTGAGATACCCGCAGACACTGGCCCTGACTTAACTAATTCCATGGATGGGACTACATGATTCCAGTTTATCTGGTAAAAAGTTGGCTCATCCCAGGGGGGAAAATTACAGATAACAGTTGTCTAATAAAAAATGATAATAATAATTTCTTTAGGTTGCTTGATGGATATGTTTCTTATTTTATTTCTTTTTCAAATTTCTTCCATTTTTTACTGTTCTAATTCAAGTTTTGTCTGGCATTGTTTCTATACTGATTTTGGTGGTTGTGCAACGCTCTACCTCGCGTTGTTGTTCTATTGTTTTTACTTTTGTTTCCTGTGTGACTGACATAGTTGTCTGTGCCTTGTCGTGGGGTGGGTGTTGTGGTCACGTGATTCTGGACACGACTGTGGCACAGACATCACATGCTGTAGGGCTGCGACCCAGCCCTGAACTTTCAGGGCCAGCCCGGCCTTGACAAAGCCCGAAGGCCTTCCAAAATGGATCAGGGCCAGGCAGGGCACGCCCTGAGTCTGACGCCTCGGGGCCAGGCAGCGCCAGGGGCTGTTTTTAGCCACAAAAACCACTCAGAGAGTCATTTAGAGGATACAAAGTGGAATCTGGGCACGTGCCCGGGCGTGTGCCCAGATTTTTTTTGGCAGTAAATTTTGATTTCAAAATAGGGGTCCTCAAGTTCAGAAAATTCGAACACGGTCCAAGTGTAAATCAAACAGCTGTCTGAGCGAGCATACCTGTTTGATATCTGAGCAAGGAGGCACGCGTGTTCTGTTCGTTTTGTGCATGGAACACATCCTCAGACACCGACATGAGAACAAAAAGCACATGTCTGGAGACTGAGCAGGACTTGGATATGGCTTTAGAGAAGGCAGTTTCCTCCTTCTCTCCATCCGTGAGACAAAATCACAAGTTGTCCGGTTCAACAGGCGATATCCGTTTTCATTCTCACCGTCAACACAACCCATTTGCCCTCAAAAGACAGAGTCGAATCTTTGTGTCGATACTGTTCACCTAATCACTGTTCTTTTTGGTGGTGATAATTGATAATGAGAAAGACAAGAAAATGGAAAAGAGAGAAAAGATAAAGATTGGATGTGAGCAAGCCGGCGGAGTTTACAAAGGCTACCACATATTGGATGTTTGTTGAGATCATGGGTTAAGGAAAATTCTCTTGTCTTGGGCCTTCTGTTTGTTTCAGCGTAGACCTCTGATTGTTACCTGTCCACAGAGGCTCCGAGCCACTGTTTGAATTCAATGAAATAAATTAACAATTTGAACACGGTCCAAGTGTAATTCAAACACGATTTTTCTCAACTTGAGGACCCCTAATTGTAAAAGAGTGACTTACCGTGGGATTTTTTGAAGGAAAATGATCAGCAGCCGCGGTGCCCGACCCGCCCGACCCGCCCGAAGCACCCTCAGGGCGCGCTCGTGATCATCAGCACGCTAGGCTTGGCGGCCCCGGGGCGCGTACCGTTAGCGCTCTGAGATTGCTCGGGCGGATCCGGCCGGGTGAGGCCGAGTCCGGGTCGCAGCCCTAACATGCTGCAGTCAATAAAACCCAGCTCCGCCGCTTTCTGAGATTTCACACCATTGTGGAATCGAAGTGTCTTTTTACTTATGCGTTGTTGTTCTTTCTACGATTCACTATAGGTACTTTAAGTTGACACCATTGGTGAATGTGAGTTTCCTTTTGCTTATGTGTTATTGTCTTTTCTACGATTTACCATAGGTACTTTAAGTTGACATCATTGTGGAATGTAAGTATATGCGTTATTTCTTTTCTATGATTCACTTACACTATAGGACTTTAAGTTGACATCATTGTGGAATGTAAGTTTCTTTTTAATTATGTGTTATTTTTTTTCTATGATTCACTTACACTATAGGGCTTTAAGTTGACATCATTGTGGAATCTAAATTTCTTTTGACTTATGCATTGTTGTCTTCTCTACGATTTACTATAGGGTCCCCTCTCTGGTGTCAAGCGGACGTTGACAGCCAGAACTCAAAAGATATTGCAAGGATATCTTGCAGTCATCCGCGCGATGTGCTTGGGGAGGATGAAGAAACGAAATCCTGTCAACTGGCGACCCGTAGAGTAGTACAGGTACTGGAGGGTACAGGATGTCAAATTAAAGAGAAGATCATTTTAGGTTGCTTGATGAAGTCGAATGCATGGTCAATTGGCTCAGTTCACTAAATCAGATTTGACTTCTCTTTGGTCATCGAATTGGTAGCTTCTTGACCGTTTTCATTTCATTGCTCTCAACTTCCTCATCCAACCCGAGTCATTTGAGCTTTAAAGTGACTCACCATGTCTTCTCAATCTACCGCCTCTCCTCAGGATCAACCCAAATCGAAAAAGAAAATCAATCGATCCTTGGCCAGTTGTTTGGCTTGTCGCTCAAACCATACTCAATGCGATCGAGTTGAGCATATGCACTTCTACAGTTGAAACCCTACTTAAATTTAATTGTCACTTTGCTTATCTTTGCCACAAATTTTATCACAGATCATACCATGTGAAGCTTGCCAAAAGCGTAAGAGTGAATGTAACTACCATGGTGCAAGGCCTCCGTCAATGTGTGTTACTTTTTTCCAATCTCTTGAGCGTATCATTACTTTCTACTGATCCCAAATGTGCCTTGCTTTAGACTAGCCACACGCCGTGCTACAGACCGTGAGCAAGAAGAGCAGTATGTTCGAGAATTGGAGCAGAGAATCCGTGTACTTGAACAGGCTAAAACGCCCTCTCCTGTTAACAAATCTACCACTCTGCCTGTTTCGATTGACTTTGGTCTCGATGATCTCACCCACAATCTAAGTCAAATCACTTTGGGACCTCGCTTACGAGCTCCTAAGTCTGAATCTCAACATAATTTGCAAACCGACATAGAGAGACTCATCGCGTACTCTATAAGGAATCGCCCCGCTGTCTTTTTCGCCGAAACCTCTTTCAAAATGAGTTTGATCCCCAACGGACCGCCCACGACAATCGAAAGCTTGCGAAAAAGTCTACCGTCACCTGAAGAGCTCGCCGAATTGGCGGTGTACTTTTTCTCTTACCGGAATCCCTCATTCCCTTCTATCGAACCGTCAAGTTGGCCTGATGCGGTACTCCTTTGCTATGATCTTCACAATGCCAATCAAATTTCACCCGAAGACATTCATCGCTTTGCAGCAGTCCTCGCCGTGGCGGCTCATGGACTCCTGCACAAAGCTAGAGGAAACATCAATGCATGGCTCACCCCACATGACCAACAACAGATAGCTCGGGCCCATCGCTGGTTTCATCTTGCTCTTGGTGCGCTACAACTCGAAGAAGGCGCCATTTTCACCCGTCCCACCGTTTGGGGCATCCGCGCCATGGCTCTCCTAGCTACTGCAGAAATCTCGTACGAAAAGGTTTCATGACTCGTTTCGATACATTTGAATATCTAACCATAAATCAAACCATCTCATTTATCTGTTCTGTTCGGTGACGCAACCACCTTTTTGGTATCTAATCGAGACCCCAAGATCTCGACCATGGGTTATTCTTTTGGAGCCTAACTATCAACTTGGCTGCAACGGTTGGCTTGTTCAATGAGCCTCCAGGATTTGATGCTAAAGAAGTTACTGATGTAGAGTTGGAGTCAAGGCGTCAGATGGCTTGGGCTATTTGGGGATTAAATTGGTGAGACATCTTCTCGTTGATGGAAGGAATGTGAACATTTACAAACTTATTGAAACTCTTTCAGGGGCGGAGAAGCACTTGTCGGTCAGATACGACAGCCAGTTGATTGTAAGCGCTGTCTTCATCAGGGCTTTCTTCCTTTCTGACTTGTATCTGACGTCATTTTGATTGCAGTCACCATTCATACGGTGAAGCTACCGGGGACTGTGAATTGTGTACTTGATCCAAATGATGGTTGGCCAGTGGACCCAGTCCTAGGTGAGAGATCATCAGATCATTGTTAAAATAATGTATGTAAGACGCGACTTGCTCATTGCGAGCTCTCAAGTTGATCAATTTAGCAATGCGTCAAGCATTCGCACTAAGTGATCGAGCTTTTTACGAAACCACGTCAAAACTCCTGACGGGTCGAACGGCCACTTATGAAGAGTGGGTCAATTTCTATGTTCCTCGCCTTTTGTGATCCATCTCGTTTGCCTCTATGGTTACCTCAATGGCAGTGCACGGCCTTCGTATCCTCAGAACTTGGAATTACTTTGACATTTGTCGTCCGGTCCTCATTCAGCCAAATATATCCATCAATGTGACCTTTCCCAATCAAGCTCATGACATGGATAGGAACTCTGGATGCACTTGTCATTTGAAAACCCTGATTGCCTTCCTGGCCAAAGAGCTAATCCTACATTGAACTTGTCTCTATTTGTGTTAATGTCGAGCCAGGTTGTTACAAGTGGAGCGCAGGGTCCTGGACGTCGAGGAGTCCCTACCCGACCGATTCAGGCTCGTGATAAGTCCTGATAGACTTTCAGTTCGGCCGAAACTTACCCTTGATCCATCCAGCGCGCTTGTGTGCTACGTAAGTAATCATTGATCGTTGTGTCACTCCGTTGAAGAGCTGATAAGAGATCTTGTACAGTTGATCTGGCATCATTTGTCTGCGGTCCCACTTCGTGTTCATCGACCCTTCTTGTTTCCGAAAGAGGGTGTCACTGAATCACAACAAAGACGGCATATACATGGTCAGTTTTCATCTTTTGGCCATCCATGTCCTGACCAATTGTTGACAAGAGCTTGATAACCTTGAAACAGCTTTAGAATCCATGTGTCGGAGGCATTTACTAATCTGCGGCCATATCCCACAAAAAACAATGATGCACCCCCTGATGCTCTATTACAATATCAATAGTGCCCTATCGTGTGGGATTGCACTCTTGACTCGTGAGTATAGTTTCAACTAACAAGCAAACCGGGCAGTACTTGCCACATTCGATCTTATCTAATTCTCATCTTGTACCTTCATTAATCAATGAAATGAAGACCCAGACATATTCGATACATCTTTCTTCATATCAGAACTGCATAAACTCCTTGATGTTTTTGCGATTGCTCAAAAGACTGTATCCTCAAGTCTGGCCTCGAGCGCCTCCATAGTAATTTCCTACATGATAGAGCAAGCTCGACGCAAGGATCCTCAGGCTCCCCCACCATCCAAGCGAGCCACTGGAACTTCCCACGCGCTGCCGCGCTCGAGTCCCCATTCCACTGACGCCGAAGATCTTAGGCATAAGGTGCGAGTCTTGTATATTGCGGTTTTGTTGGGTACGTAAGCTGATTCCTTTTTCCACAGTCTCCACTCACTACGAACTCGGGATCGGATGAAGGATCTTTGTCTGATTCGAGAGTACTTGAGCAAAATCAGCGCCCGATCCGACGCATCCCAGCCCTTGAACGAACTTCGGAACAAACGACACCTCAGATTGATTACATCCCGCATGCAGCATCTGGGTCGAGTGGAGGAAGTTCCGATCCCCCGATCATCAATGACAATGCGATGCCTCGTTTTCCCTTTACCTTCAGATCACCTTCACCATCTCCGACCATGAATACCTCCAGTAATCAGCCATCTAGCTCAAGGCCTTCTTTCCAAGGAAACACAGAGGAGCAAAGTTTTCTATCAACTTTTTTTGATCCACAAGTTCTAGAACTCTTCGGACTCACTCTTACTCAAAGCTCCCTCGTAGACGCGGCACAAGACAATAGCATGTACCCTCCTCCGAGACTGGAGAGTCAACCCTCATATCCTAACTCGAGTGAAGCATCCAATTATGGATCACATGAGAACAGAGCTCGAATAGAAAGTTTAGAAGGATTGAACGCAGGAGATTCAGTGAAGATTATTAGTCCTCCGATGAATTCGGATCCTACGACACCTTTTCCTTCACCTCCTACTCAAGTCGAAATCAATCCTACGCCAAAGGAATCATTTGAGTATAAATCACATGGAAACAGAGATCAAATGCAAAGCCTGAAAGGATCTAGTGGAGGCAATTCAGCAAATATGACCAGTCCTCTGAAGAATTCAGGGCCTATGACACCTTGTACTTCACCTCCTACTCAAGTTGGAGTGGATGATGGGAGGTCAGGAGTTGGAGGTGAGGAACTCTTTTGGAATTATATCAGAGCAGAAAAGTAAAAGCAGTGGTGGATGTGTTTAGGTGGATTGCATGAAAGAAATTGGTTTTCTTTTGTATTTGCATATTGCTTGTTATGAGGTTTGATGATCTTGCCATTACTTTCTTGTAGTAAGACATGTGATATGGTCAGATATCTTAGTAGCTAGTAAAACCAAGGGAATCACTATGATCAAAGCCTGATTGAGTACCATTGTGGTGTCTGATTCTGCAGATTTTCTTGGTCACAAATATTGTTTGCAACTGGTTCACATTACATTCACAGCTGCCCCTTGAGCTAAACCCCCTTTTATCAATGGGTCAAGCTAACTTAGGATTCTTAATCCCAACTATTCCATTATATATGTTCTTAGCATAACACTTAGTACATATGTCCTTAGCACAGACACCTCCGTCCTCAATCTGGATTGTCCAAACATTGTCCAAGGCACACAGAATGGTTGAGTGAGCTTGCTCAATGGCTTCAAACAGATGACACCCCAGATAAGGAGGTTGGTCTTGATTCCAAAAAGGCTCTGATATGGTGGAACGTAAGGTTGATTCCTTATTGATTGAATCTTGGTCTAAATTGTTTATCTGGTTATTCTCATAATCAGATGAATAAGTCTCAATATCTGTTACTCTCAAGTTTAGCACTCAATTATCTTGCTACAAGTGATACTTCCCCCCAGTACAGATGTAAGTTCTTGTGCTCCTTCTGTAAATAAGACATGTGCTTATACATTTTCTTTTCCATAGAGCCAACTTGGCGGTTGATTCCAGACAAAGAATTATGAACTTTCAGTCAAGTTAAATGAACCTTCATCAATACATAAAAATAATGCTACAGACAAGGACAACAAGCTCACTGCAAACCTCTTGCCAGCGGAAAAAGTTCTTAACAAAAAACCTACATGGATCCATACCCCACAATCTTTTGTCTCTGCATCACCTTCTCAGCCGGAGGATGAGGATGAGGATGAGAACAATGATGAGAACAATGATGAGGATGAGGGCAAGGATGAGTGTCAGAAAGGGCATAAGCTGCCTCAAATATCATGTTCCTTACAAACAAACCCATTACATACAAGAATCTACATGTAATTAATTAATCACAGGTGGTAATGATTAAAGAAAGGTGTACATATCTGATTGCATACATAAACAGATAGGCAATCATTTATTATACACAGAATGCACAGACTGTTTATTTCTACACTTCTCAACATTCAATTATCATTTGTTTATTTCAATTTTATTCTCTACTTTCTCTTACTACGTGTTATTCAAAAGATATAATCATTGTTCAATAAGCAAAAGATTCACAGATCAATTTGGAAGATGATCCTGGAGTGATTTGTTTGATGATGATCTTTCTATTACACGTGTGAGATCCTAGTTCAAGCTACTAAGTTGGCTTGGGAGCCCAACTTAGTAACTGATCATCTAAAACTGATCTTGTTGGCATGTGATGGCCGCCAAGAAAGGATGTCTAGGGTTATTGTGCTAAAATGATAGGTTGTTGTTGAATGATTAACCAAGGTGATTCAGGACTAAGTGGAATTAAAGGTTACACACACTAAAATAGATATTTATATGTGCACATCTATTTGTACAGATCTGATGTGATCTTCTACGGATCAATGATCAGTTTTTCTTGTGATCAGTTCTTATTCACTTCTATGATGTAGTTGTTTACTGTTCAATGTGCGCTATATTCTTCTTCTGATGGGTATATAAGCCCTTGCTGTTGTCTTATTTCTTTTATTCCTCACCTTCAATCATATTGATGAGTTTACAACAGCATTAAAAGCAACCTTTGATGTCCCTGTTTCTATTTAGAGCCTGATTATTTTCCAGTGATAACCCTCTAAACTAGTAGTAGCCATGTCATTGATATCCTTTTGATTCTCTGTTTACTTGATCCTTGATTGCTAGAGTCACTGTCTTTTGATTATTGTAATCTTCAATAAGAAACATATATCTTATTAAAGCTCTTACCTTGCTCAATAAGCACACTTATTGACAATGAGGGTGAGAACAATGATGAGGATGAGGATGAGAAAAATGATGAGAATTAGGATGAAGATGAGGATTGAAGGTTTTTTTGGAATCCATAGGTGTGGGTCACTTTTTACTTAATGTTTCAGGCTTTCTTGATGTCCAGTACTTGCATTGAAACTTGCGTCTGTCTAATGTAGGGACAATTGAACAGTCAAGCCAGAAGATCAGTTGAATGGAAATCTGGGATTTGTTCATTGTTTAGCGGAATCGGATAAACTGAGAGATTTAACTTCCATATTTATAAGTGGTTCCTTTGTAAAATGACTATGGTAGTGCATAGTGACCTCATTGGACCTGTCATAGTTGTTCACACATTTCTCTTTTCTTTTATGTTTCATGATTTTTATGTATGTCTGTTACACATCTGCAGTTTTTATTTTATTTCATTTTATTCTCAATCAAAAGGAGGGCACAGTCAGACTCACAGAAGTTTGGGAATTTTCCTTGAAATATGCTGCTTGAGACCACTTCAGGAACATTCCTAACCAAGTGTCACATACTCCTGGAACCTGGCCGCACTTTTTCAACACAGTGAGGGCACAGCCCGACTTGCACAAGTTGACTTTGGGAATGTTCCCCAAAATATGTTCCTTCAGACTACATAAGGAACATTCCTAACTAAATCTCACACACTCCTGAGAACTGATGTGTGAGAACCTTGCCAGAAATGTCTGACACAGCAACCAACCTTGACCCCTGAAAGTTTGGCAACCACCACCTTTCAAGAACTCAAGTTGTCCAAAGCAATATCACTGCGCCCAGCAAGCCATTTTGCCTGTTAATATAATAATCTTATGTTTGTACCTCAATGTTTTTTGCCATGTACAAGCAATTGCAACCACACCTGGTTGGTGCTTCCTGCATTGTTTTCTCTTCTCACACGTAATCTAAGAAGGTCATAAGGAGCGCATCTCATCAAAGGCCATTTGACCAGCTATGATGCACAATAACCCTGAAGGTGATATATTGCGTGTGAGCTTTGATATCACCAACCCTCTGGTAAAGCCCAAATGCAAGATCACCACTGTTTTCCAAGCAGAATAGTCCCATTTCCTGGTATCACATGCTGTTTCCCTTTCCTCAGCACTCTCTTGAGTATTTGGAGGTATTGGTTTGTGTTTTGATGATGAACAAAATAGGATTTGGTGGTATTTGCCAATTGGCATGTAGTAAAAAACAGCAGAAGTGTCTGTATGTGACAAAATGAGAGGAATATCCAATGTGTATTAGGAGGTTTCAAGTTTCAAGTTAAAAATGCATTGATTTTACACAGACTTTCTTTTACAAAAAACTTGCCCAAATCTTGAAAAGATACAGAGAAATCAAAGCCTTGTGCTACCCATCTGGCCGGCCCACAAAGTTGGCCAGCCGCTGGTCATTTCACATGATGTACAGATATTGCACATGTATTTGAATATGCCTGCATGTTGCACACCTCAATCTACCAAACCGTTGAATACTCAGCAAATTCACACTCAATTCATAAATACTCAAACTTGATATCAATTCCATTTTGTCCTCAAAGTCCATTCATTGGGGTATAACCACATTTGCAAATTGCCATAACTATACCATATTAATACTTATCTATAGAATAAATGCCGGCAATGTGACCGGCAATCATAACCAACACACATCAGGCAATGTAACTTCATCACACAATAGTGCTTCTCACACCATGCTGTGGGGAATAAAAACAAACATGCTGTTTGGCATTGCAACAAGCACAATGCTACACAAATACAGGGATATTCCAACCAATAGGAAGAAAAGAAATGTTGCAAATGATAGAATAGAATGTTGTAAACGTCTACTTGGGGACACATCCTTTTGAAGCACATACACTCAATGATATTTCTACTTTGCCACCTTTGTCATAATGGGAGCACATGGTATGTAACCGGTTAATACCTTTTGAGAGATCACCATACATGGTACCAAGTGTATCACAATACACAGTACGTTGGTTCAGGGAAATTCAAATCATACTGCGTTGGCAGATACATATGCAAATGTACTGGCCAGCTGTAAGGAGCACACATTCTTAGTAGTCATGGGAGTTGTAGTATGGGTTTATACAGGGCGTACTTTAGTCTTCTCTTCACTGCCCGGCTTCAGAGAGTCCTCACTACTCAGAGAACCAACTGTGGGACTTTCTGGAGCTAGGTATGTCTCTTTGTTTTCTTGTTATCCTTTTAGTCTTTCTACTTTAGATAGGGTCACTGACTACTCAGAGAACCAACTGTGGGAATTTCTGGAGCTAGTTTGTAATTTCATATAACACAGCTCCTAGTTAAATTGTCTGTTAGAGTTCTCTCAAGGAGTTGTGCTGGAAGCTCATCCGGACTCCTAGTGAAGGTTCTAAGTGAACCTTACACCAGCGTCCCGCGGCCCGCACTGGTTTCAAGGTTTGCACAGGGCTGCAATGCTCACAAAAGATACACAAAAAACAAACCAACTTGAAACCCCCTATTATTGATTTCAACTAGACCCTGGGTGGCCAGCCGCCTTGTGAACTTACCTTAGTTGACATACCCATGGATGTGAAATCTATGTGTTGTTTTGCAACTTCCATATGTATGAAAGTTTGCCAGTCACAAGGAACAACCTTTTGGTAGGTTCATAGTCATACCATGAAACATTGACTGTCATGATCACATTGCCCAAAGTGGAAAGCAACCACAATGCCCAGCACTTGCTTGACCAATGTGGTGTGGAACACTAACAGGTATTCACAATGGCAAAACTCAATGGTGATGACCGGATTCAGCGATTGAGATTGGTAATCTTGACATGTGTTATTGTTATGTGCTTACATGATTTTTTTGCTTACATCACTATCTTACAATGACATCATGAGTTTTTAGTTTGTATAAAGAGTACTACACTTTTATCATTTGTACCCTTTCTCTTTATCAAACTCAAAACTCATTGTTTTTACAATCTTCCATTCTCTCAGATTGTCTCATTTCTTTGATCAAGCATGTGTTAGCTTTTGTTCAAAGCTAACAACCTGAACTTCACAGCTTTCTCACTCAATTGAGACCACTGAACAAATCAAAGTAGGGATGTACCTGCATTTACTGCACATCCTAGTTGTCCGGGAAACCCCCATGGGACTGCTTAGCTTCTAACCCCATGCCTTACCTAACCATATGGGGATTCTTAGGTGTTGTGTCAAGGAGGGCTTCACTGTGGCAATTTTTTTTTGCACAACTTGCTCTTTCCTTCATTAGAAGTGATTTCCGCAAATTGCCTCGGAACTATGTTCCTTAAGTATGTATTAGTGTTTTTAAAAAAAGACTTGATTCCATGAGTTATTCATCATGCCTCATGATCACCATCACAGTCACCAAGAAGTTTTTCTGGATTCATTGAACTTAAAAGTTTATGAAATACGCACACTTGAGGCTGACTTTTTCTGTTCTCCATCACATGTACTAATCAAAGATACAGCTCAGTGAAGGATTTGTTCTGACTCTCTGGATCTTTTTGAGGTTTGATGATGAGCAAATGAATTTAAATGAATTCTTTCATTCACTTACATTGTATTTCCATATCTCTATATGGTATGTAGGCAAAAGGTTTTTGTTAAAAAGCCGTCTGGGTGGATTGATAAAGCAAGAACCTGGATTTTGGATTTTTGGATGTTACCGGGTCAAATCTTTAAATGGTGGTTGTATTGACCATGAGGTCATCCAATTGTTATTTACCACTTTAAACTTTCTATTTCTCCCTTTCCAAAAGTTGAAAGACTGAAATCTTTTGATCTTTATCACTGTTTTCATTAAGCTTAATCCACCCTTTCCAAGTTTTTGGGTATGTTTTGGACGTTAGCCTGATTGAAGGAGTTTGTTTTTGTATTTCCATTTTGAACTTTGTGCCTTGCCCAAAGATAATTCTCGAGGTTAGATTGTTGTACAAACTCACATTTTTGAATAATTCCAACTTTTAATTTATCAACCACGGTGATTGGTACACCACGAACCCTGTTTTCGTTGAAAAACCGGTGCCAGGGGGTTTTAAATTTGACCCGCTGACAACTCGATGGTGCGCTGGCGGATTATCGGACTATGATCCGTTTTCTGCGCGGTGAATTGGGTAACGGTCGTTCGACCAGTGTCCCAGCAGTTAATCAACCGCTATTTGAAACACCGCGTAAAATACCATGAACATCACATCCGAGCTTCCTGTGGTTGATCAATTATCGGATGCCTAACTCGTCTTCACCGGTTGAAGAATCAAAAGCCTTCAAAGACTTTGGACCAAGTTGAAAATTTAATCAAAAATTTAATCAAAAATTTAATTTAAAATTTAATTTAACATTCCACCAACTGATCTCAAAACGATGTCACACTTTTAATGACATAATTCATTCTCATCATCATCACGATTCGCCATCATCATCATTCAATCTATTCAAAATCTAACCATCGAGACCATTAACAACATTCCATCAAGTCCTACAATTCAACCTTATAGTCATCTTCATCAACCATCATTTAATCCAGATTTACCTCAAGCAATTGAGTCAATCGATCCAGTCATTTTAGGATCTTTTGTTCAACTTATTCTCACAAATCTATCTTATCATTTGATCTGATTTGCCTCAATAATTTTCACTCAATGATTGACATTCTATGGGAAGGTCAGTGTTATTTTGTGTCTTGCTCCACCTTCTCTTTGTGCAACCCATCTTCTTGATGAACAAAATAATCGTGATCAAGAAATCGATGCAAAACAAGGTTCGGTCCTCATCCTCCTTCACTTCCTTCACGCCTCATCTTGTGACCAAAGATAATTGATCATAGCCTCGATACAACAGCTGGTAACAATCTTTCGGGTTAGGATCTATTTGTTCATCTCTCTGTTTACATGGCAAGTGTTACTGATATTATTAGTCATTGATCATACCTGCTGCTATTGATGCACATCGATTTTGCGAGTCTACTCAATCAGATACAGCTATCTTCAGTCGATTGTGCCCTGCCATCAAGGGCAAAAGAAGATCTGCTTCGATCATGTTGGAGCAATTTCAAAGTTGGGAGTTGATACTTCAAAAACACCTGACGAGTTGAGTGAAGAAGAACATTCAAAGTTTGTTTGACTTGATATCAACCCTGAGAAGATCATTTGGTAAGTCCTCATAAGTTGAGCTTGAGATCGATCTGGGACTGACTATCATGTCTTCATGTCCACCAGGTATTATGTCTTTATACAAATGATTGAATCTTCAGGCAACCCATACTCGGTCAAGGACCCCCACAGCAGGGTTGAGAGCTCGATACAGGCTATGAAATTGCAGTAGCAAGCGAGTCTCTGGCTGTACTTGCCCTCAGTGACGATCTCGCTGAAATATAGTTTCATTTCCTCGTCTTTGTCATTCTTAGTTTTGAGCTGTTTGTTTCAATCATTTTCATATCTTATTTTCTATCTTATCGACATTTCATTTTTGTATTCTTAATCTTTGTCAGTCCAGTAAATGAGTTGTTCTGAATGTAGCAATTAACTTGGATTGAATCGTCTGTTTGCTTTGCACTTTTATGAATCAGTGAGTATGAATTGAGACATTGACATGATTTGATAAAATGATCCTATTGTCTCTTTCTTAGCAAGCATGGTTGGAGGCTTCAACCAGTTTGGAACTAGTGATAAACGGTGTAGTTACCAGTTTTAAAAAACCCGTTTACAACACGGTAAGACGGCCACGTGTTTTCAACAGTGGTCACCACTAATAAGGAAACCGGTCCTCAACCTGGGGTCACCGCCCGATGAGGACCGGTTACTGGGGGTTCGTGGTGTACATTTGGATAGATTCAATGGAATAAATGCACAACTTTTCCCTGATATTTAGTGATGGCCTGAATCAGCGTTAACCAGGCACTGACGGTGTACCTGAGCGGCCCTCTCGGCCTCGAAGGATCGAGAGACGGGGTCGGATATAAAGGAATGAACTTGAAGCGAAGTCCCAATTTCCAGAAACGATATCCACCACTCAACTTATCTATCCAAAAGTTTAACTTCACGTTTATTTTATATCTCATCACGCACGAATTATAACAAGATGTCTTACATCCTTCAATCCATTCGACTTATGCAACGTCAGGTAAAACTAAACCTTTCTTTTTCAGTATCGGTACCACAAACAAATCAAACTGATAATCCTTTACGAATTCACCATATGTAGTTTGCCACACACCTCACAAACCCAATCCTTCGTCGCTTTCCACGTAACACTACTACACCTAAACCCAACCCATCAATCAGTCAACAAGGATTTCTATTCTCTTTACCTCGACCACTTTATCCTAGAATTGGTGAACGATGGTCAATGATTCCCAAACCGTCTATTCGACCATCTGTATTCCATAACGTACCTATCCTCTCATCGACTTTTCAGGTGTGTTGGAATTACTCATTGAGATGTTTTTACATCAAGTCACTGATCCGATTTCTTTTTAGAATATCTTACCATTACGTAATCCAGCATTAACAACCCAACCTGTTACTGAAAATACTAATGTTCAATTACCTTCGACTTTACCTCAATTGAGGTTAGTAGTAGAAGAAGAAGATATTTTGTATGATCGGATTGATCGTTGGTCAAGAGATGTAGCATTATCTGTTATACCACAAGATTCGTTGATAGATCATCAAGTTCGATTAACTGATCAAGTCATACATGATCTAGTGGCTAATCGATTTGTGTTTCCGATTTTGAGTCCTGATGATTCGTAAGAATGTTTTGGATCTTTCTTGTTGTACACTAGAGTTAGTCTTATCTTTTTCCAGATGATTAGCTTTTGTCGTTTTTTCGTTTTTTTTTATTGTTATAGCTATGTCGTGTATATCCATCATTGTTTGAGTTTCAAACATGTGGATTTGATTAGTTTGTTTTGTAATGCATTTTATTCATTGTGCAGTATGTTGTAAGATTTGATGTTCTTTTATAAAGACATCATATTTTTTTTGCGCTACAAATGGATGGTCATCATCATGAACATTGAGTGAGTTTTGTTTGAGATTGAAATTGGAAATTGGAAAACAAAAAGAAGTGAAGAACAAAACGGATGTACTAGGAACAGAACTTGATGACTAATCCACTTAAAATTTAGAAAAAAATTGAAATCTTCAAAACCAAATCAGTTTGCAACATTCCAAAACACCATCACCATCACCATCACCATCAAGGAAACAAAAGAAAAGAAGGAAAGAAACATGAAGCCTACAAACTCAATACACACTTCAAACCAATCATCAGAAAAGAAGACAGTCAATTGGATCTCAACACCTCAACAATCAACCAGTCGAATCTTAGTAGAGTAAGTCAATTCTTAACATCACTTCATATTCTCATCAAAGCACTAATACTACATCATGTTGGGTTTGGTTCAGAGATACTCCTTCAGATCATACTCACGAACAAATCGACATAGAAGATGATTCAAATGATTCATACATGGCAGAACTACTAAATAATAATCAAACTACAACCAATCCAATCATCCAATCACAATCTCAGTTCCAGTCACAATTCCGAGGTGAAGAAGAAGAAGAAGAAGAAGAAGACCATCATCAAAACCTATCAGCTATCATACTTGATAAATCATTAGAATTTGAAAATACTCATTTGATTCCAATAGGACCTGAAACTCAAACTGCTCAAAACTCATTAGAAAGAAAAAGACCGATTCAATTTGGTTTAAATTTACATCCAATCATCAATTCAGAATCTCAAGAATTAAGTAATTTGGCTGAAGATCAAGTACAAGAGATTTCAGATTCCATCAAACCTAATTCTTCAACACTTCAAGCACCATCTAAGATCCATCCAAGATCCATTCATCGAAATATCATTTCTTCTAATTCTGGATTAAAGAAAAATTCTTCATTATCTTTAATGGAATCAGATGATTTGTTTCAATTCGAACCATCATCAAGATCAGCTCGACTTGAGATCTCATTAGACGCATTCCCATCATTCAATTCTGATAATCAGCACCAAGAACTCATCCAAAGTACCATCCCAGCACATCTCAGTCCTCATCACCCCAACCCAGCTGGATCTCAATCATTCGAAAATCCAAGTTTTATAGAAGACCAAAGTGTTGAACTCTCTAGACTCGAAACTATGGACATACCACTCCATAGTACTTGTGATCATGCTCTCACACCTCCTAGTCCTGATACAACACTCCCTAATATCCTGACTCACAATCGAACCGGTCCAACCAAATCCCCATTAACCACACCACCTCAATCAATGACCCATCACCAAACCTTGAACGTCAAATCAATAGCTGATCATCTTTCTCCAATCCCAATCAAACCATCAACTTCATCATCATCAACTTCACCAACCCAAAGTAAAGCAAAAGCTTTGAAACCTTTTCATTCGATTCGAAACTCTTTGATGGGGAAAAGTTTGAAGGAGCAGAAAACTAGGAATCTCTTTGATCCTGAGGTCGATTTGGATATCTTTGATTTAACCGGTGAAGTCATTTTGGGCTTACCGGCTTCTCAGTCTCAAAACACACAAGATCTTTTGAAACATCATTCGATTGGATTCGAGACTCGAAATGTAACAGGATCTCGAAATTTACCTCAGAATAGATCAGGATCTCAAAATATGTCAGGATCTCGAAATTTACCAGGATCTCGGAATATATCAGAATCTCGAAATATACCAGAACCTCGAAATGTACCGGGATCTCGAAATATACCGGGATCTCAGAATTTACCAGGATCTCAAAATATACCAGAACCTACGGTGCAGAGATCAACTAACAAAGGAAACCCCATCTTAGCACTCAATTCTTCTCAAGACGCTTCTGGTTCTGGTTCTCGTTCTACTTCTCGTTCTCGGTCTAAAGATGTAGTAGAATCAAAAGACCAAGCAATCCAAGATCATCAAGAAGTTCCAGAAGTGAACCTATTTATGGATCAAAGCTTTAGTCTCGAAGACGGATTGATTGTGGCCAAGAGTTGTAAAAAGTTTCAAAAGTTTGGATTACAGAAAGAAAAAGATGAAAGAAATCGTTCGAATGTGGAGTGTAAGTTGAATACATACTTTTTTTTGGCATTATAATTTATTTGAGTTGAGTTGATTTGGTTTGGGGTTTCATTTTTTTGGGGTTTCCTTAGTACTTGAATCTGATCAAAGTATACCTACTCATCCCGAATTCGTTTCAAGAATCGATCAAGGTTTAGATAATACTTCTAATAGTATGTTGATCAAACCGAACTCTTTTGAGAAAAAAAAATAATTTGAACTTGATCAATTTGATTGACTTTTCTTTTCTTTTTGGGGTTGTTTAATAGGTATTAAGTTAAATGAAACAAGAAGTGATGAAAGTAGTTTCGAACCTGCTGGTAAGTTTTAAAAAAAGAAAGTCAAACCTCCGAAATGGAAAAAAAATGATGTCTTGATAAACTTTTCTTGGTTTTCTTTAGCTCCTACACAGATTAATGAACCGATTTTATTGATAAAACATACTGAAAAAGTTAACAAGAGTGTTCCAGGCCTGGAAAGTGGTGATCAGAATGGATTTCAGAAAACAATGGATCGAGTACCGGAAGCTGGACCTTCGAATCTTGTGATGAGTGGTTTAGGCCAGTATCCTCAGAGGTTGAAAGGTAAGAGGAACTTACAGGTTTCTCAAATTCATACGGACTCTGAAACTGGTCAAGAGACAGATAGATGTAAGTGATCCATCATTCACGTTAATGGTCGATTTAAATTTGATCTGATTTTGGTTTTCTGGATAGCTGCTAAGACTTTACCTGAAACAAAGAGTGATGAAAGTAGTTTTGAACCTGCTCGTAAGTTTTTTCAAGAAAAGAAAGGAGTCAAAGATTTGAAAAGAAAAAAATCATGTCTTGATGAACTTTTCTTGGGTTTTTGAGCTCCTACACAGATTAACGAACCAAGACCATTGATTAAACCTTCTGAAAAAGCTAACAAAAATGGTCAAGAACAACAACTTATTGCTCGACCTGAGACTCGTGATCAGAATCTACTGCAGAAACCAGTGGATCGAGTACCCGAAGTTGGTCCTTCGAATCTTGTGATGAGTGG